CCCCCACCCCTGCTTTAGGGACTCAGTTTTCTCAGGCACACCTTCTTCCTGTTTAGAGCTTTGTTCTCTCAGGATTTTATACAGTGCCAGAACAGATGTTAATGCTTTTATTCCTTTTGAGTTACTATTACTATTGTTTTGTTCCTTCTGGGTTGCTGCAGCTCTATGAACCTGAGAATTATAGTGAATTATGCTGTGAAGTATATATAATAATATATAACCATGATGAAAGCCTGGACTTCCCTGTGCTGCTTAACTGAAAACTAAAAACAGGCCCTAAACTATAACGTTATAAATATTGTTTTGCCCTCTCTGGGAAATATACCACAATCAGAAAATTTTGTTCTCAAAACATTTTATCTCATTCGTATTTTATACTTGTACTTCAGTGACAGCTATCTAGATAAATGAATCTTTGCTGATTTATTGGTTGGTGCTAGTTAGCTAATATTTTAATAATGTGCTACTTTTCCCAAATCTTCTGGAGATAGGATGCCTTAACTCTAAAGAACAAATCTAATGACATGATAGGCTGGTACTGGAGTACACTAATAAGAGATCTATTTCAAGAAAAGAGATTTTTTTTTGGAATGCCTCAAATTGTACCACTCAGGTGGATGGATACCTATTTCACCTGTGAATAAAACCAGTCCTGGTCAAGTCACTGTAATTCATCAGTGGCGTTTGGGTTAAAAGTTCAACTTAAGCTTAATTATGAAGCAAATGAGAGTTTTCCTGGAGCCAGGGCTTTTTGTAAGAATCCTGTACCAGTGGAAAATGGGAACTCGGAGATAATTTCTGGAGAACATAAGAACATAAACAATTGGTGCATGGAGAAGTAGAGAAGGGGTGCTTCTGTCAGGAATACTGCTCCCCAATGGTTTAGTGTGGTAAAGATCCTGCCTGTGCTCTGCTGATCCACAGATTTACTAGAAACTATGCTTTGGCTTTCAGAATGAAAACCCGCATTGAATCTCAAATCATTTGGGAAAATGATCTGTATTTCTTACAGTAAAACAAGCATTTCTTCTAAGGGGACTTCAATTTATTTGGTGTGATTTCCCACTCTTGTACTAACATGACAGAAGTGTTGTGTGTGTGTGTGTGTGTGTGTGTGTGCACGCGTGTGTGCCTGTAAGGTATATTGCTGTTCAGAATGAGTTTAATTTGTATTTTATTTTCTGAAATAATTTTAATTTGGTTGGTAGGAGGTCCTAATCTTTTTTTAATATGAAGATACAAAATCAGGGATTGTAAATTGCATTTTGAGCCCAGTTTATTTGAAAGCAAAATGTATTTTACCATTAATGAGAGAGAGCTAGTGCTAAGCAGAAGGATAATGGAAATTAGAAAGAGAAAATATTTTAAGAAAAGGGAGTGGAGCCTTTGGAAGTAAAATGTGAAAATTCATATTCAGATTTTCACATTTAGAGAAATCTTTGACTGAAATTCTCTAAAGCAGTTATGCCAATGTCTCAAATACTGTGTAATATCAATGATTCATACTTGTGTGGTGTTTTAATGTTAACAATGGGTTTTCCTCCCAGCAACCTTAAGAGGTAAATAGCGTAAGGTATATTAGAAAGTATCCCACTATTTTTCTGTTAAAAAATATTATTTGTTACATGGGATGGTTCTCTGGGCAGGGGAGAGGGAAAAGGATGCTGGAAGAAATTCTGATGATATTATAAAAAAAAGATAACAAAATGTTTTTAAAAGAAAATATCTAATCATCCTGACTTGATAATTATGTATGCCCCAAGTTGGTTGTTTGATTTTAATACATAATGTAAAAGGTCACACTATACAGTTGCTAGACAACTGTCTTCAGAGTCAAGAAGACTTGGGCTGAAGTCCCATTTCTGATACATACTGGCTGCGTGATCTTGGGCAAATCACTTAATCTCTAAGTACTCTAGAGGATCTCTCCAGCCAAGAATTATAGAAGTAGTGCTAACCGAGTTAGCAAAAGGAGTTTGTTCACTGAGAGTTCCTTATAACTTTGATATTACAGGTATAGGACAAAAAATACACAGCTTGTACATTCTTGATTATAGATATGTATGTGGCTATTCTGTGGATTTTCTTTGGTGAATTCTAATTCCCTTTCATTTCACAGGTGGAAGGGTTTGCTGTGTGGAAATCCCCTCCATTGGTGCAGATCAGTATTTCATCTGTAACTTAGAGAGGTCCTTGGGGCTGATTAGGTGACTTACCCAGGTTCACACAGCCATTAGGTGACAAAAGCAGCACTTGAGTCAAGGCTTCCTGACTGCAAGTCTGTTGCTCTTACCACTCTATCTTTCTGTGTCTCTCACTCCAATATTAACCTGATTTAATTAGGGTTAGCTAAATTGAGCTCTCTAAAACATTAGGATGAGAAAACTTCTTTTTTTAAATTTAAATACTTAAACCATTGCAAAGCCATCCTTTTTGTTTCATTTTGTTTTTTAAGGATCTGTATCAGAGCTTATGGTAATGAATATGGAGCATCAAAAGCCCTGGTGGAGTGATTCTATCCCATGGAGGTTTGGGCTAAGACTACCTAAAATAAATTAGTCATGCTTTCATTTATCCTAGAGGCCTAAATGCTTACCTGCTCTGCCTGGCTTACCCTAAAGGCCTAAATGCTTACCTGCTTTGCCTTTGTCTCAATAAACAACAGGCAAGCTGTTTCCTACATTAGCTCCCTTAGGACATGACTAAGTCTCATTCTCAAATAGGTTCTTAGCAAGATAGATCTCACCTGTGAGATTCTTTTCTTTCTCCTAGTGTCAGTTTGATACAGCCTTGCATCTGCTTTTAGTCCAACTCTCTGACTCCCTGAAAATGCCCCAAGACATACATAATGATTGATGGGATATTAGTCAATCAATATTATTAAGCACCTACTATGCACCAGACATTGTGCTAAGTACTGGTGATACAGAAAGAGAAAAAAAAACAATCCCTGCACTCAAGGAGCTTATGAGGTGTTAGAATCACTGATCTGTTGGATTTGGAGTGAAGGACCTGGTTTCTAACTCTGACTCTCCCACTACTGTTTGTGTGACCTTAGACAAATCACTTCACCCATATGGACTTTGCTCGCCTTTACTCACAGACTGGCCTGTCAGCGTTACTTCTCATATGTCCTAGTCTTTACATTTGCACAAGTAACCCCTCACTTCTCTAATGCATTCTCTCCCTGTTTTTCACCTTTGTAGATTCCCCAGCTTCCTTCAAAGTAAAACTAAGGCATCACCTGGCACACATGGTATTTACTGATCCCCCTCTACCTTCCCCCAGTTGCTAATGTCTTTTTCTTGTAAATAATTTCTCTTTTGCTTTGCATCAGTTCTCTACTTTTGCACATATTAAACCATATCATCCATCAATATTAAAAAGTAAGCTCCTTGGGGGTAAAGCCTTTCATTTTATCCCTCACATGCTCCATGCCTAGCACAACACATGGCACATAGTAGACATGTAAAGCATCACAAAGGTATGCCTTTTTTTAAAAGAATCTTCATTAGAGCATATCTAATGTTTATTCTTGAACAGAATTGAAGGGATTGGACCAGATGATCTCAAAGTTCCCTTCCAATTCTAAATTCTGTCATTGTCTACTGATCCACAAACACAGCTCTGGCTAGATCACCTTGTACCTTTGCTTATGTGGTTCCCTGTGCCCAGGATGCTGCCTCTTCGCTCTCACTACCTGGTTCGGTCTTTTAAAGTCTCCCATCAAATGCTGCTGATTGCAGAGAGCTTTCCATGATCTGCCAACCCTATGTGATGTGTCCCTTCTACAAATTCCTTTGGCACCTTGTATCCATCTTAAACTTTTGCCATATTCTGCCTTACTAATATCTGGTAATATAGATAATGCCTCATCTACCCTACCAGGATGACGGAGAGAGGGAGAGAATAAGCATTTGGCAAGTGACTGCTATGGGCCCAGCAATGTGTAAAGTGCATTACAAACATTGTATCATTTGATCTTGCTCATTATGGGACTGTATATTGCATCTCTCTAAACATAGTATTTTATGCATATGTGACCATGAAAAAGATCTTTGATTTCCAGCAGATCTTAAGCAGTTTGTGACTTATTATTTAAGTCATGGGGAGTAGACTGCATTGCATAGGGTATAAGGGATTTTCCCAAGATCACAAGGGTGGTAAAGATGAAAAGTGGTGTTTGAATCCAAGTCTTCCAGACTTCAAGTCTTCCAGACTATCTATTCTGATATTCTGTTTTTACATGAGGCTAGTTCTTAATAAATATTTATTGAATAAATTAATGAAAAAAAATTGACTCTAAAGTTTAGGGGTAAACATCCTTCCTCTGTCTCCATCTCTGTTGAATGGGATCAGAAGATGATGAGTTACAAAAGAGGAAAGGAGTGGTAAAAAAAAAGAAGATGGGCTTGTCAAAAATACTTACAGCTTCTGCACAATTTTGCTGAGGAGGGTCTGGTATATGATGTCACTCCAAGAGCTTCCACCGGTTGATATGCTTCTAGTGGCTTACATTAACTAGTAGGTTTACAATGGCTTTAATAAGGTAAGAACAGTATCAATACTTTTGCTACAACCTGTATTATAGAAGGTCAGCTTGCTGTGACTAGCTCAGTCATATCATCGAACATACCATAGACATTCAAGGCAACTTATCTCCATCTTCCTCCCAGGATAATGACAGAGCAAGTATCTTCCTTTGTATAAAGACAAAAATAAATTTTGACCTCTGATATGCAAATGCATCTTCCAATAGTTTGTTAATTTCTGCTGTTTGCTCAAAATCAGGAACCACCAGACCTGTGATACATCATCTTTTGTACAGTTGGCATCTTCCATCATGATTCATATTAATCTGCTTAAACTAACAAGGATTAATTGCTTCAGGAAGGCAAACTGGCATTGAAATGATATATTGCCCAGGCAGCTTGGAAGTTGGCCATTCATAAATCTTGTTTGTTTGTTGGTTCATTTCTGTTTGTGTCTCATTCTGACAGATGTGTGCCCAATCACTGTGAGCATGGTGGTAAATGCTCCCAAACCTGGGACAGCTTCAAGTGCACTTGTGATGGGACAGGATACAGCGGGGCCACCTGCCATAATTGTAAGTGCCAATTTATCTCACTTTACATTTGTAATTATATAAGTATCCCATGTTTTTTGTTTGTTCATTTTTACCACTGCTAAAAAAGCCTAGAAAACTAAGCCTGAATAATCCACAAACTGGAAAATGAGCTACTGAATGAAGGATTTTGCTATAGGTCTTACATAAAGTAATGCCTGAGTTTTCAAAATACACTTGCAAAGCTGAATGACAGAAGGAGGAGGACAAAATAATGCCCATAATTAATGAATGCATTGTTTAGTTTACACTGGTTTTGGCAGAAGTAGTTGATATTGAGAATAATTGGCAATATTGACCCTACTCAGAGTTTGGACATTAGTAGTAATGGTATGATGGGTATAATGTGAACAATTGTAAACATCTATAGGTCTAAAAATTCATTGTTTGGTGCAGTATCCAAAGACATTGAAGGCACGCAGTAAAGTTAAAGAATAGCAAAGAGAAAGTTACTTGTCCTAATAGAGGTCACATAATGAGTCTCTTGAGGTCTATTGTGTTATCATGCCAGGCCCAGATCTGTTACTTACTATCTGTGTAAGTGATATTATGGATATTGAATTGAAAGTGTAATAAATGTTTTGTCATGATGGTTCCCTTTCCTGAAATACAGAGTAATAGAAAATGTGCATCTTGATGAATATAATAGGCAGAATAGTAGAGTTATTTTGAGATGAACTGTAAAAATAAACAAATTTTACCTAGGAAGTCTAATGAGTAGGCCGGGGGAGCTTAATCATAGCCAAGAGAAAAGATCCTGACTGTGAGTATTCATTTTTATATCTTTCTGATGCTCACAAAAGCAGAATTATACTTTGAGGCAGTGGGAACTGATCTTTGTAAGCTTAATTGAGCACCTTCTGGTAATATGGCATTAACTATGAAAGATACATATGGAGATGGCATATCAAAGAAAAAGACCAATTAGGAAAGACTTGGGGTTTATTTTTTTTAAGTCATACTTTTGTCTGGGATATGGTTTTAGGTGGGAATTAAAATTTCATTGATGTAGGGAAGTTTAAGGTGAGGAAATTTCTTTAACCAATTTAGAGTGACACATGCTCTGTAATTTCTAGTCTTTGAGAGTTGCTAGCAAATTTAGAAACGAAGCATATGTTGCCTAGAATCACATGGTCAGTTTGTCAGAGGCTGAGTAGGAGCTCAAGTTGTCCCAACTTTGGGTCTAGCTCAGGAACTGATATCTGACTGATAAGACTGATAAGACTGATTTCCCCTTATCCTCCTTGATGAGATTACAAAATAAGCAGAAAGTGAGAAAGAAAATAAAGTATTGATTAAATTACAAAAATGTACAGAGAAGATGACAAGACAGTGAAATATTAAAATCTTAAAGTATAGAGAAATGGGGAATTTCTTGAGGCTGCAGGTTCCCCAGCCTTCATGAGGGTCCTTCAATCAAACTTGATAGAATGACAGGACTATGAGTCATTGGCTGGCCAAAAGACCAGCTTCATCCTTGGTAATCTTTAAAAATCAGGATAATCTCTAGGGAGTGAGTTGAGGTGGGAAATAGCTCTGCAAAGCAAGAGCTCTTGTAGTTGTGAAGAGAGAAAGCTTTAGAAGTAGAACCCAGGGCTTAAGAGGAAAACATGTTATGCTTTTTGGTTGGGACACAGGAGATTTCTTTGAAGTATTCTTTCATTGGCAGTAGTGTCTTGAAGCAAAGCTACTCACCCACAGAGTGAGGGCCCAGGGAAGACCCAAGACAATGTACTGCATACAATGTTGAGAAAGAACAAATCTGGCAACTAGGAAACAAGATGCTTAGAGGAACAGGCACAGGGAATCCAGCTGAGCAAACTGCTCGGCAGAGATGTTGTGTCTTAGGGGGAGCAGCATGAGGATTCCACAAGAAGAGAAAGGACATTGAGGCCCTACAGCATCAAAGGTGGGATTTCCCTTAGCCATACATATCCCCTATATGTATGTCTCTCTGGTAGTGTACCCTATATATGTGCCTACTCTTCCTACTGATGCTGCATGCATTTGTGGATAGCTATTGTTCTTAAAGTGCCATCTCAGCAAATATCTTTTCTTTGAGATAACTGTATCCACTGGATGGCTATTAAAGGTAAATACACTGATGAGATTTCATTAACTATAATTTTTGAGAATGTGGGCCCACTAAGTACTTTGAACTTGAGATACTTGTCCTCCAGGGTACCTAACCTGTGCATCAGAGATAGAGGTAGACTGGTGGGGAGGACACTGCATATGATATCCTAGTGTCTGTAAAGATATTATTCGCAGGGAATAATTTAGGCGTGAGGAGAAGGTAAACTAAAATGTTTTGTCCAAGTCTATAAAGTATGACATTATAATTATCTGTAAATGGAAATATGTGCTGTCTACACACCATAGCCGCTAATATACCAGTGACTGGTTTCAGAGAGACAGACAGACAGATAGATAGATAGATAGATAGATAGATAGATAGATAGATAGATAGATAAATAGATAGATAGAGCTATATTGCCATATTAGTGATTAATTTTAACAGTTTGGCTGCTGGAATGATTAGAGTGGAAAAAAATCACCTGAGTGAGATCTGTTTTTTAGTCCTGAATCTGTCAATAACTTACTCTTTTGACTTTAAACATATCAATTCACCTCCCTGACTCCCAACTTAATTACCTAGAAAATGAAGCCATTCAAATGAGAAAGTGTCAAAATTCTTCCACATTTTAAAGTTCTTTGATACTTTGAGTTAAAAATACCCATTTAATATACCCTGCTGTGGTCTATATCTGCAGCCATCTACATATGATCACAGCAGGCAAGCCAGAAAAGAATGCTCCCTTTTAAAGTGGAGATCCAAGTATTACTTTATTGAGAAATACTGATGGTATGAGGGAAAGCTACAAACAAGGAACCAAGACAAAGGAAAGAGGACTCACAGCCCCTGATATCCATGTCCGTGAAATAGCAAAGGACCCTGTAAGACAATGAGAGGAGGCTGTGTTTGTAAGTTTCTGGAAACTTGGAAAGTACTCTGCACCCCGATTCCTAAGTTTCAGGCATAATCGTATAATAGTAAGATCACTGATTAGGAATTAGAAGACCTTTATTCAAATACTTCTCTGCTCTTTACTACTTGTGTGATCTTAGGTCAGTCACCTCATTAATTTTTGCCAGTTTTCTCCTCTGAGAAGTTGAGGCCTTTAATTAGATGTCTCTTCCAACTCCAAAGCCTTACTATGTGACTGTAGGTCTGACTATGTGACTCCCCTACTCAGCAGATGCCCTATTAACTCCTGGATCAAATGTGAAATCACGTTTAACTTTTTAGAGACCATGACAACCTTTTCCCCTTCTCATCTTTCTACTCTTCTTACATTTTGAAACCCTCCATGTATTGTTATCAGAGAAACTGCCATTCATGCTGTTCCTCAGCATATAGCATTCCCATCTCTTCATGTCACACATTTTCACCAAATGGAATTATTTGTTTATTAAGAAAAGTTTAGTTTTTGGTGACTTGGGTCCAGTAAGAGGGCTTGTAAATTGGAGAAGCACTGGCCTGTTTAGCGGAATATATTTCCTATGATTCTGGAAGGGGGAATAAGTCACACTACATATGCAATACCATCTTCAAAGGAAACCTGGCTTCCTAAGTTCTATTGTTGCTTTTTTTTAAAAAAAAAATATCACTGTTACTTCCCAATGAATCTCTTCACTCTCTCAACCTCATGGTAGCTCCAAAACAGAACCATTCCATATAACAAACAGTGATATGTAAGGTCCCTTCCAAAACTAAGATAATAATAGTAATAATAATAATTTATGCAATGTTTTATGTATGTTGTATCCTTTGAACCTCCCAACAATACTATTAGGCAAGTACTATACATATTACTCTCTCTGTTCTGCAGAAAAGTGTCTCAGAGCATTAAACGACTTGTTTATGATCACACAGTGAATAGTATCAAAAAATGTATATGAATCCGGTCTTCACGTTTGCAAAATCAGCATGCTTTGACTGTATTGCTCTACTTTTCTGAATTTTGCCTTCTTGTGGTCCCTTAACCCTATGTCAGCTTCATATACCTTGGTCCTTATTTCATTTAATCTCCTCATGTGATATAAAAGCGTGATGCTTTGCCAAGAGCTAGAGAGGACTCAGAGATGGTGCAGGAGCAGAGCCTCCATAACAGATAAATTCCAAACAGAAAAAAACCTAGTGAGGGAGTCCTGACTCAGCATTTTAAGTGGCCAATAGTTTTAAGGTTTGTGACGGTCAAATGATATGTTTGAAAAGTGCTTACACGGTGCCTGGCATAAAGTATTTGGTATTTTGCTCCCATCCCATTGTTCTTTAGGTAAACCAGGTGAGCAGGAACATTCTATAGGATGGTTGGTTTGTCATTGATTGAATGATTTTCTGAACCCCAAGTGAAAAGAGTTTCCTGATAAATGATTGAATGACACTTGAAAGAAGATGAGGTGCTCAGGGCTCTTATCAAGGCCAGCCATGCTAGTAAAGGCTCAAAGGCTACAGTCCTGGGGTACACAGTCCTGCTGAGTCTTACTGGTTATATGCTTTAAAATCAGCAATAAAGTTTGAAAGAAGTCATAAAACATCAGTGTTCACCTAGGAGAAAAAAGGACTTGTCCCTCTACTTTAATCAGTGATACTTGTAATGTCCATAAGCCATAGCTATTTAGGTCACTGACATTACAGGTTGGTTTCTCATGGGTGTTAGAATCCTTTATGAGACTTTCAAAAAGGATTTTAATGTCCACATGTTCACTTGTGGAACAGTGCTTAGTAATGAGAAGTAGTGCACTTGATCATTTAGGCAGCCCCTTAATGTGTATCAGTAAAGTGTGTCCATCAAACTCTGAAAGCATGAGGAAGTGTGGGAGGTGGGGGAGGAGGAAGAAAAGAAAGGAGGGAGGAAGGGAGAGGGAAGGAAGAGGAAGGAAGGATAAGATAGAATCTGCCTCCTGGAAAGAAGTTA